TATTATAATAATGCAATATATGACAGAAATAAAAACAATATAATGTATATAATTATATGACAATAATTGCAATAATCAAGCCTAATATACATCAGAGATGTTTACTCCCAGAAGACTTACTTGAGAAGACTCATGTATCTCCAAATAATGAGCAGAAAGCACTGGCCTGTTTGCACAAAATACCAGTGCTACAGAAACTATAATAGGGCATTGTCAGAGACCAGGAGTGATCAAAGGCACTGCCAATGTCCAAAAATTTGTTTGGGAATTCCTGAAGGGAATTTGTTTCATGGAAATATCTAGATAGTCCTCTCAAGTAGACATGCTATTCAGATAAGTATTGTCCTGTCTAGGAAGGCAAGCAGCTCCAGTGCTCCCTGACACACTGATGTCCATTATAGGCTGCAATATCTTGTGATGAATCTTTGTCTGCATAAGAGATGAAGGAAGAGATGTACAGGAAGGGTCTATGAAGTCAGGAGTGGCTGGAATAGGTAAAAAGGAAACAAATCCTCCATAAGGAATTGTAGGGTATCAAAGGGTATCACTCCTCAGCCTTTTGGCTGACATGAAGTGCAGTATCTGTTCTTATCAGTTTCATGATTCTATGAAAGAGAACCATCAGTCAAAATGAAAAATATGAGATATTTTGAAACAGAGTTGAACTTTCTGCCACAGGATGGTGGGATGCTTAAAGTTTGCAGTTTTACAAAACAGCTAGACAAATTCAGCACAGGGTTTTTCAATACAAAAATGACATTTCTGGCTCAGGAAGTCCTTGAGCTGCAAATCAGTGGAGGCGGGAGAAGATTCCGGGGAATGAGAATTTCTTTTTATACTCTGTGCTCATCTGTCAGCTACTGGCCTCGGTCACTTTGCAGAACATAACCATTAACAGGTACTATTGCATATTAAGTGTGCACTCTACCACAGGACCAAACTGCTGAGAAATGGGATTTCTATGTTCTTAAAATGTCCCAAACCAGATACCCCAAAACAGAACTGACAGCCCACTTGCCTTTTTTTGTTTTACAGTTCTCAGCTCTGACTACCAGAGAGTGCTTAGTGCAAAACTAAGGTTATGGGCAGTTAGCTGCATGGACAGCCTTAGCACCTACTCTGTTTTCATTATACTGGTAATGGGGAGCAGCACCATGGGAAGCAGCAGTGCCCTGTCAGTCACTGCCATGCACTTTTTCCATAGAAGCTGATTAAGCACAGCAGGGCCAAGTGAAGCAGAGGAATATTGTTTAAAAAGTTAAGACAGAGGCTTGAATTATATGAAAACGCTGAGAGGATTTTTCATGTCGGGAAAGAAAGCGCTTGTGTGTTTATGGGTGGATGACCATGTTCCCCTCAAGCAACCGTCAGTGTCAGAATCGCGTCTCAATTTTATGCTTTCCTCCTTGCCTCTCAGTGGGGAAATCACCACCCATGTGAGTGATGTGCATTTGCAGCATGACCAGCAGTTTTGACAGTGACAAGAAAGAAACTAGACACTAGGGTTGTGTTCATGCACAAAGCAATTTTGCCCAGGCTAGAGATGCTAGAAGAGACTGACTACAATCATGTGAGCCCACTCCGTTTCATTTCCAGTCATCCTAAGATGCATTTGGGCAGAGCTTGTCCGTGGTTGATCGTTGCTGCTATGGAACAGGAGGCGACAGAGAGTGAAAACAGAGGGAAAAAAAAAGGGAAAGGAATTAAAGTAGTGCTGTCATGGTGGTGTTCTTTCCTTTTTTTTTTTTTTTTTTTTTTTTTTTTTGGACAGGGATTCATATTTATTTAAACCAACTTAATGTCTTTTATTTAGGCCAAGCTGAATGACAAAGCAATAAATCAGGAGAGGAAAAGAGCCTATGTAAGGTACAAGAATGGGGAAGCAGAAAGCCAAGGCCTGGTTAGTATCCTCATTCTGGTTCTGATTGTTCTGTAAACTGGAATTAGGATTAAAAAGAAGAGTACAGATCTGTACAGCGAACAAGCCATGCTTCATAATGCAGCCATTCTCCCATGGCAGCACTCATAGCGAAGCACGCAGCCAGCGCTGGGAAAGCTATGTTCAAGGAAAAGCATTCCCCTTATTGGAAACAAGGGTAAATGCTGCCAGGTTAGAGTACATTTATATACAGTCAGAAATCTGCAATTTTCTCCCTATCCTCCCCAAACAACTGGAGTTTTCATAGGGTTTACATTCAGATGTCAGGCGAAGAGGCACTGCAGCTAATACTTGCTAGGTGAAACAGGATGTGATCAAAAAAATGAGCCTTTAGAAGGATTACATCAAGGAAAAGTAATTGACAAGGATTAGACAACAACTTTAAATATATGAATATGAATAAGGTGAATTACTCAAGCACAGACTGACACAATAGCGAAGGACTGACCGTCGTGGAGATATTACTGTCATAGAGGGTAGCATTTCATGACATAGAGTACTGAGATGTTGATAAGCAGTATTGTTTTACAACACACAAAGAGTGAACATCCACGCTTAAGAGCAGTTGGACAGCACAACTCACCAAAGCACTGCTGGTTTATCAAAGAGGCCAGGAACGAGGCTTCAGTCTCTTCTTGCATGCAGAGGGCAGAGGGTTGCGATGCGCGCTGGTTACAAGAGCTCTCTGCGGATGCTAATGCAGGACTTGATCCTTTACTCCCTCCTGTACAGCATGAATAAAATATCACAGAATGACTCTGAATTGGAAGGTATTTCTATGGCAGCAGTGTCCAGATGACACACTTGAAAACAAATTCTTGTTTTACACAGGGCTTAACTAATCTATGCAATTTACTGCCACAAGCTCTTTTTGGTGGCTTAGAGCTTAGCAGGTTTCAAAGCATGATAACACTTTTACAGACATAATAAGAACACCTTCATTTACATGAAGACAGATAAAAAGAAAACACATAAAGGATATTAATGTACGCAGAGAAAAGCAAGCTTCCTGTGACAAGAATCATCTGTTTTTATTTGTGTGGACAATAACTAGCACAACACAGACTGATTTCTATTATACAAATAACATGAGTAATAATAAAAAGTAATCTATCGCATATTAGGCAGCTTTAACAGTTTGGTACTAGAGAAAACGTAGATTATCTCACAATTACATAAAGATTTCTTGCACCATCCCCTGAAACGTCTGATCTGAGCTACTGTTAGAAAGAATCAGAATCCTAATGGTCTGAGTCATCGTGTCTGTTCTGTTGTGTTTCTTCTTCATAATAACTCTATGGCTGCTTGGATTAGGACAGAGAACTACAGGAATAACAGAAAAGACTGTAACAATGCACTATCAATATCTGAACATATACGAGGAAAAAAAAATTAAAAAAAACCCTGTCTTTCTTGCTGCATCCACTCTAGGAAAAACTAAGGAGAAGTGGAGAATGCAGGGCTTTTTCCGTCTATGCTCAAATACTTGATGATTTCTTTTTATTCAGTGTTTAGCCTCTTCATTCCTGAGTCCCTCTCAAAGATTATTTTTTCCCTTAAAATCATGAGGTAATGTAATTTTGCAATTTTATTCATTCTACTTCCATGCTATCCATCTTTTCCTGACCCTCATGACACGAGTCTTGTCTTTTTGGACTGCTCAGTCTACACAGCATAGACAAGGACATGGAAATCTGAGCAGGCAAACACTCGAGTGAAGCACGGCACTACTCATATATGCCACCTATCCCCTTACTCCTTCTTTTGCCTGCTATCCTGCTGTCTCATTCAGAACTAAGTTGTCTTTCAGTTACAGAGTTTACATGAGCAAAGCCATGATCTATAAGCCAGATCTATATGCCCTTACCAGGACAGCCATATTCAGTGTTTGCAGAGCACCGAGGAAAACAGGCGTCAGCTCTGAGAGCTGCTTTAAAACAAACAGAAAACACAATCTCTGACAATGCCTGACAATGCCTGACAAGTGCCACAGAAATACCGATGTGGGCACATATGAATCATATGCACCCGGACAAGCTAATGCTCAACTCTGTGGTGACCTTGTATGGGCACTGAGGTTAGTGTTTTTTCCTATTTTCCTTCCCGGTATTTTCAGATCCCCATTTTCCTCTCCCAGTTCTTTCCCTGACAGTAGTTGTTCCTCCTTGCACTGTGTGGTCCAGCGCTTCTTCAATCTGTGTTTCTTTGGGGAACCTACATTGCTTGGGTGCCTTTGTATTTTTTTTCTCCATCAGACCAATTTATATTATTAGCGACAGAATATCTTTTATGAACCTTGTGACAAAGCTGAGCTAAAGGATTGTGAAAGTGCTACCATCCCCTAGCACTAAGGTCCATGGGGGCTGCAGACATCATTGGCCCAGTTTCTTAGGAATTTACACATATTTACACATTTCCAGACCAGAGCTTTACAACCTGCACAGAAAAAAATAAAATAAAATAAAATAAAATAAAATAAAATAAAATAAAATGTCTGATCCAGAAGAGATATTTTTTTACCTTAAAAAAAAAAAGTCTGAAGAGTGTCTGCAAAGTTTGGAAATGAGACATTAGTATTTTTTTTTTTCTCACAGCTCACAGCCACCTCGTCCCAAAACTCATGCTGCCACAAGCCCTTGCTAGTGAGTCTGATCCTCACCTCCCCCCATAACAGAACGGAGCTTGGAGCAATTTATCGTGACGCGACCCCGGACGTGGAGCCCTAGCTCGGCGGCGGTAACGGCGGTAACGGCTGTAACGGCCGTCACGCCCCAGCGACCGTTGGGCGCGGAGCGCTGCCCGCAGGGCGGCGCCGTTTGCCGCCAGGGGGCGCCACGGAGCACCGTCAGCCTCTCCCCTCCGGCTGCGACCGTTTCCAAGTGACCGCGGCTCCGATTGGTGCTGCTCTTGCGCGAAGACATGAGAAAGACCTTCTGATTGGCTTAGAGGACGTGGGGGGCGGGGGAGATGGAGGCTATAAAGGCCGCGAGCGGGCCCGGCGGAGCTCAGTACTAGGGCAGTGCGGCCGGTGGCGGCGGTGTGGGCGCGTGGGCAGGCGGGCGAGGCGGTCGGGGAGGCGCGCGTACCCTCGCCTGCAGTGGCAGCTGCGCTTCCCAGCCAGCGCCGTTGGTCGCAGCAGCCGCTGCGGGTGCCCGAGCAAGCGGTGGCGACGCTGGCCGGCACCAGCCATGCTGTGCTATGTGACCAGGCCAGACGCGGTGGTGATGGAGGTGGAGGTAGAGGCGAAAGCCAACGGCGAAGACTGCCTCAACCAGGTGAGAGGACGCGCTGCGCTCTCTGCCTCCCCGCCGTCTTCCTCCCGCGCCGCGGGCACGGGTGGATGGAACGGGAGAGTGACTGTTGGCGAGTGACCGTTGGGCGCCGCGGACCGTTGGTTTCTGACAGAAGCGCGCGAGACGACGGGGGAAGGGAGGGGTCGCGTGAGGGGTTTGGGGGGGGGGGCGGTCGAGCTCGTCGCTTCGCAGCCGTTGAGGGCGGCGATGGCGCGAGGGAGGCCGCGTTACCCCGCTCGGGGGCGGGCGGGCAGCAGATGCCCCGGTTTTTTGTGATATTTTTTCATTTTCTTTCTCTTTTTTTTTCTCCTCCATGTTGGATGCAGAGGTTGCTGCGTTCACCTTCTCAGGGCTCCCTGGCCCTGCCGTTGCCCTTCCACCTCCACGGTGTGGGAAAGGTGGAGGAGGGAAGGCCTCGGCCTCAATGCTGCAGCCTGAGGGGCCGCTGTTTCCTTCCTTGTGGGGAAGGCAGCACGAGTGAGACCCCTCTGACCAAAGGTCCCCACTAGATACTGGCCCGTGTAGCCTCCATGAGGTCCTAGCAGCTGAGATTGTCTCCCCTGTGTCCTCACTCCTCGATAGCTTCCTTCCCGACATTGCGGGGGTGGCTGCTGCTATGGGATGCAGGAGGCTGCTTAACATAGCTGCCCAGTCTGTTGGTGGCATCTAAATAAAACTTGTGGGCTGTACCTTTTCCCTCTTACTTAGAAAGTGCTATAGGCTATGCCTGTGGTTTACAGATACTTTTTTCTTTCGGAAATCCACTGGTCCTCATAAGTGCATATTTGGGAGATGCTGGAGGAAACTGAATGCAAATAGCTCATGTGGTTTTCAGCCAGTACAGAAATCCTCACTTTATTTCTCAGTCTGTTTATATGTATGTCATCTTGAACATTGTATATTTTAAATCTGAGTCATTAAATTTTTTGTATGAAGGAGTAAGTGTATTTTAAGTGTGTGGCAGTCAAGCGGTATTTGATTCAGTTATTTTTGGTCTAGTCATGTTACAGATTCATTATACAGAACCTCTTTTTTCAGGTTTGCAGAAGATTGGGAATTATAGAAGTTGATTATTTTGGACTGCAGTTCACTGGTAGTAAAGGGGAAAATCTGTGGCTAAATTTGAGGAACAGGATCTCCCAGCAGATGGATGGTTTAGCCCCTTATCGGTTGAAATTACGGGTCAAGTTTTTTGTAGAGCCGCATCTTATCTTACAAGAACAGACAAGGTAAGCTAAAGATGATTGTAAGTACAGCTAATATAATGTTTTGTTTTCAGCTTTTTGTGCCTTAAAATCGACTGCATGTTAGTTCTATATCTTGTATCTTCTGCTAATCATAGGTTGACTTTTTTGAGTTGTTATTTTAAAAGTCCAGTAGTGCTGGAGGGCAGCATTACTTTCTTATTTTAAAATATAACTTACAATATTGTAAATACTGTGTGCTAATACCAAGCAATAACAACGTAATTAAGTCATGAAAACTTAGTGCTGCAAGTGGGGTAAACTAAACTACCCGTAGCAAGGTACTCATATGGCATTTGCTTGTCCGATAGTAACCCCTGCTCAGTGGTGTTACTGTGGGTCGTAGGCAAAGGCAGGAAACAATTCCTCCCACACAGCACAAACTTGCCAAATTCTTTTTTGTCTAGTGTCATGTTACAGTAACTTTCAAACAGCTCAGGCCCTTTGAGGCTACAAAAGAAACAGCTGTTCAGCTGCTGCTGTGGCCAGTCCTCCTATCTAAATTGTTATACTGTTATCCAGGCTTCACAATTAGCCTTCTAAGATTAGTAGCAGGCATTTGTTTTTACTGTGTGAGTTTGGTTACTACGTGGGTCACAGCTGGTTTCTCTTAAGAGTGCTGAACACTTATATTTTTAATACTGAGTGTTCAGCTTATTTTTCAGCAGTTTTAGATACTGCCATAAATGTAAATAGGGCAAACCAGTATCTACTGTGTATGGATTATCACCACATTTTTTTTAATATTTAACTCTGATTTTATTTCTCTCTTACATGTGGGAGAAGATATTTGGGAAAGCAGTGGAATATGCTGTAGTCATCCCAGAAGATAGCCTTAGTTGTGCAAATATGTTCTAGCAAATCAGTTTTGATAAACCTTACTTTGGAAAAGTGTATCCATGTCTTACATGGGCCCTTGAGTGCTTTCTTCCAAGAAACTGTTGCCCCTTTAAGTACTTAGTGATACTTAGTTATACAAAATATCAGTTTTATGTACAACAAAGAAGCAATGCAATTTCATGCTGAGTAAGGCAGAAGAGATTACCTTGAGCATGTCTTGACACAGACCAAACCATGGTGAATCTTCAGAGCCAAAAGCTGATATGATTGGCATCCTGTTATCTTTGCCAGATGCTTACTAGACTTTATTAGGTTTTGCAGACACTTCTATTCCTCACTTCAGCATTGCCAATGCAAAACTTGGCGTGTTCAGCAGGTTAATAGAGTATGTTTTACCAGTTCAGACTAAGTGCCTAAAAGGCAGATTGCGTAGCTAGAACAGAGCTTGTGTATACAGGGGAAAACAGTAAGTACTTAACAATTCCAAAGGTGACTTTAAGATGTTGTGTAGGGGACATTTTTGTTAGATTTATTTAAGCATTTTCTAAAATTAGATGTTTTAAACATATACCTTTTTAAATCGAGTCGTGGTCAGAAAGATCTATTAAAGTTCTGTTCCAGGAAAAAAATAAAATACTAATTTGAATGCCACACCTAGGAATATTTCTGAAGCTTCAGCTGCCATCTTTTAGTGGTACTTAAGTACTTTTTTAGTGGTCCATATGTAAGAGATCAGGAATCCCATTTTGCTTGTGGTTAATATGCACTTCTGGAGTGTTGACAGTGAGTTTAGATGAGTAGGCTTGCCATTTTTATTCTCCTTAGATTTGCATGAGGAATAAATTCTTTGTTATATTCTTATACTTAGTTTTCATACAAGCCCCTGTGAGATTGAGGCAGAAAACAAAAGCTTGTCAAACCTGTCATTAAGTCAATAGCTGTATCATGCAAGGATGAGCTGTATGGTTATGGCTAACACTTTTTTCCTTATCTTTACTGACAAAGTCAGTGTACTGGATGACAAAGATAGTGATAATAGCCTTGCTTTTTAGTGCTTAGGTTGACAACTGGTATTTTTTATATAGCATTATGAGTATTAGGTGACTGAATTCTAATTTCATGTGCCAAAGAAGGCTGAGGAAGTCTCATGGGTCTTTACTGCTGACTCAGTTGGAGAGCTAATCTGAGATGTTTGTCTTGCTCTTAAATTTACACTTGAAATTTATTAAAGTCTTAAATTTGTTTTGCAGCACTTTAATATTGAACCTTTTACATATTATGTAAAAAGCTGCTTTAGCTGGTGAACACTGAACTCCACTTCTGTTAGCAGTGTGCAGTCCAGTGAAAGAAAGCAACCTCATGTATTTTTAATCCTTTTTATGCAAGAGAGCCTTCTAGTCACTGCTGAGGCAGGGCAGATTGTTACCATTTTTGACCACTATGGTTAACAAACCACCTTCACTGGATGTTTTGCCCGCTGCAAGAATTGTACGAAAGTGCTGTGCTTGCTACGCTTTCATTTACAGTTAAATTGTTTTCATTTCCACTGTTCTTTGGAACTCAGTGTCTGTTTTCTAATTCTCTGATGCTGAACCTAGCCACAGGTGATGCAGTTGAGAATTGTTTTAGCTGGAATGAAAATGCTTCAGAGCAAGCATAGGTATTCACATTTAGTATCTGCTGTCACTTCAAGCTTCAGCAGCAAGTCAGAAAGGTGAGGTGTGCCTGTTTAGAAGAGTTTGAATAATTTTTATAGTTCAGAAAAGCATAATTACATTGACTTGGAAAGGACAGCAGCTGTTCTTAGACCTAAATTGTAAATTCCAGATTATGACATGATTATTTTCAGTGTTTTGTTCCCTGAATTTCTTTATATACTGCAACAGATGTTTAAAAGGTAACAAGCAGTTTATTCATCAGACTGATTTAAAGTTACCAGATGGTGTTCTGCCAAACTTCATGAGCCATTGAATTAGAGAGGAGTTGGTAATTACCTTACTTGATTTTTCAGAATTTGTTAAAGACAGTTGGGCGAAGAAAACTAGCTTTAAACTGTAGTCCAAAAAGGCTGGAAGACCTGAGCTATTGTTTTGCTTATACTCAGTGTGTTAAACATGATTTTAATTAAAGCAGGGTGTGTCTCTTGGTGCTTGTTTGGCTTGCTTCAGCTGAGGCTGTGCAGTTCCCTACTGGTTAAGTGATAACAAAGTAACTTTAGGTCATTGACTCAGAGTAACCTCTGACTAACAGCTACTAGGCATGTCTGACAAATCAGCGACTGCTGCACTGGAACAGGGCCCAGACACTGCAGAAATTCAACTCCTGATTGGCCTGCAACTCTGTCTCGAGGCAGAAAGTTCTTCTTTTGTGGTTAAAAGGTTTCTTTGTAAAATGTGAAGTACAGAAGTCTTCAAACCTGCATCCACCTCGAGAATGAAAGTGCTTGCTGAGCTGTACAAAGGGCAAACTGCACTAAATGATCTTCCAGAAGAGCAATGGTTTACTTCAGCCTTTAAAAAGTCAACACTTTAGAGATCACAAAGTGAATCATTTCTTGGGCAGCATCAAGATTTGCCCTGATTTATTTTGAGCCTTAAAAGGGATAAAGTTGTCTTGCATAGTATAACTTAAAATCAAATATTGGTTTTTCTTTGTCATGACAGCTCCATAAAAGCTATCAGATTCTAACATGTTACATAATCTCAATAAACATTGTTTAAAATAGCTTGATTTTACCAAGATTGATAAGTAATGGTGTCTTGGAAGCTATTAAAAAGCATGTTGCTACTTGCATTTTAAGTACTTTAATTAGAATACTTTACTTTTGTGATGTTACTCAGTTATAATGATTAAGAAGAAAAACATCCTATGTTATATAGCCTTAGCTTCCAGTGTTACAGTGCACTTGACAATTCCAAAAAAAAAGTTGCAGTAGATACTAGTGTTAGGTTTATGATCTGTTTGTGTAAATCAGAGTTGAAGTGCAGTTACTAACATTTTATTTGCTCTCAGAGCAGGTAAGGGTAAAGATAAATAATCTGTGGTTTTGCTTTTTGTGTTGAGTGGCTTACATACTTTTTTTTTAAAAAGTATTCTATTGCTATGAGATCTTGATCATCAGTGCATTTTACAATTATGCCTCTTAATCCTCCTCCCTTGAAGATAGTGAGTTTTATGTTACTTAGCAGTAGCAAAGACCTTAACTCTGCCACAAAGAATGTCATATAGCAAAAAGCGGGCTGTTCCTTGGGATGTTTATTAAGACCTCTGCCAATAGTCTCATGAGAAAATGTCTTCTCTTGGCTATATTGCTTGCATTTTTATCACATTGTCAACAGGCAACCAAGTTTAGAACTTAAAGCTTTGAATGTAGTCTGTCTTATCTCTCTTCCCAGTTTTCCATTAGTTGATTGCACTAAAAGCTATGTTCCTCTTACAGCATTTTACAGCATTTTGCATCCTAATCATTCTAAGATAATTGCCTTGACTTTTATGAAAGGGATGAATTTTGTATGCTTTATGTATTACATAATCTTCCCTCTCTAGACTTTTTAGTTTTTACCCGAGTTGGTAATGGATTGTTTTAATGTAGTTGCTTTCTATAGAAATGTTGTTACAGCTACTCACAGAAATAGTGATACAGCTTTTTGGTGGAGGTAGCAATCTCTGTTTATAGCCTGCCTAACTTACCCCTGAGAAAGGGAAAGAAGGGGATGTATAGGTTTGACTAGCATCTGCAGAAATGACTTCTTGCAGCTTCCACTATAGCATTTGTATTGTTTAAATCCTTTTTTTGTGTGTGTGTATAACTAAAATACGATAATCATCAGATTTAATGTGCAAATAGAACTTGAATTGTATGGAAAATACTAGAGCAATATCAATGAGACAAAGGTGTAAAATTACTGATTTCATCAAACATGAGCTTGTCGATTCTAAAATGTTTTCTTCCTTAGAAAAGGAAGAGGAAAACATCACTGGGCAATGTCTAACTAGGAGTAGGAAGCTTCAGGCTCTAATCAGTATTTTTATGTACTGTTTTGAGATATTGCAATATAAAAAGCTTTCACTATGAGACACTCCTAGTAAACAAAGGCTATTTTGAGTATTGTACTGTGTAAGATGGACTGCACTATACTGAACTCGAAGGAAATGTTGGATCCTTCAACATACTGGAATATCTAGCTTGTATGAGGACTGGTAGAGGAACAAAATCTATTTAACATCAGAAGAAATACTTCTGTACTAATGCTGTGATGTACGGATTAAGCTATTGGGCCTTGGGAAAGTATAAGTGACTTCATCACATTGGAAAGTTCTCTTTGTTCTTAGAGCTGCCTGTTGTTCCACGTCTAGCAGATGTTCAGATGGCTGTGAGCCACAGCAATCTGCCATCAGTAACGTTCTGGGTTGTAGAGACTTGTTTTTGTGGAGATGTAAACCTGAAGCAAAACTTTGACAATGGCAATAAGAAAGTTGAATAATGTGTGAATAGGATACCAGGGTGGCTTTTTAAACATTCCTTATTTACATAAAATACTAATACTAAAATAATTCCCTGAAAATTTCAGTAACCTTTTACTGCAGAACCTGAGTATCACAGATAACTGAAGAGGGGAAGCTTTAACAACTCTTTTAATCCTATCTAAATTCCTTGAAGGGGTACTGTGTTAAGCCCTATCAGGTGATTTCAGTAAAATCTGTGCTTAGGTTACAACTGGAAAAAAACCTCATATTTTCTGGTAGTTTCTGTCTGTAATGTAAGGAAGTTTTCCACAGATTTGTTGGGCCCCTTAGGTTTGGTTTAAAAAAAAAAAAAGAGCTTAGAGGGAGATACCCTTCTAATGCCTTTGTTTTGTTTGACAGGATTGAGCAATAAAAGCATGTCCTTTTGTCTTTAAGGATCAAAAGAGCTTTTGCTTTTGTAAATGTTTGTGTTTTTTAACACAGCCTAGCTGGTGTCATGCTTTACTATTTAAATTTGTTTGTTCCCTTATGCTTTTACTGACTTTTCAGTAATGGAAGCTGACAACTGTTGCTTCTACTTTAATTGCTTTCTATAATGCAAGTATACTCACAGGAGCCATCTCTTGTTTTTCAGCTCCCTTGCTGATGTCAACGTCTTCTCAGCAAGGGAAAGAGACTGACTCTTTCCTGTGTGCTCAGTGCTGTCATAGGCACAAAGTAGGCAAACTGGAGGTGCAGTTACAAGTGTAACATCCCTGTGAGCTAATGAGAACAAAGTTGTTAGATGTTGCTTTGCTGCGAGTGTAATTAGTACACACTTGTAACTACTTGAAAACGTCTTCTGATTTTAACAGAAGGTCAGAGGTGCATAAATAGCTTTTTATTTTTTGAAATATTGATTAGGATTAAGGAAATGGCTACTTTTGACCATTTAAATATTTAGTTGATCTCAAACTGTCAGTTAATAAGCATATGAGATTTTTTTGTGTGTAGTAACCTGCAATTGCAGTATCTAATCTTTTCTGTAAAATTGAAAAACAAACTTGATTTTGCCATTTTCAGTTGGAATAGATTGTATCATGTTAGTAAACATTCTGCTAAGCTGACTTATTACCATGTGGTGTTCATTAAGTAGGACTCAGCCATTTCGTTCTCTGGCTTGCAAGGAAAGCAACGGTTCAGATTACATGTTTCCATGCAAGATGAGTAACTGGAATTTGTCTTGTTTGCTTAGATGTTTTTAGCTAATTGTAATTAAATGTAAAACATGCTCAGTGATTGGTAAAAACATGATCAGTATTGCAATTGGATTAATTTTAATGCTTATGATCATTAAAGTATAATTTCCTCAGCATTTTGAAGCTCAATAGTAAAGCAGGCATGTAGGATTTGAGTGTAAATAACAAAGGAGACAGCTTAGAAAATGAGAAGCTTGTCCAGGTATATTGGAGAAGTCTTCTGTTCATCAGAAAATTAAAGAAGTTTGGTTTGTTTTAAAGGATTTGTCATTGCTTAGTTTTAGTTGTTAAAGGTCAGAAAGCCTACTTTCAGCTGTGATTTTGGAGAATCACAGACTGGTTGAGGTTGGAAGGGACTGCTAGAGATCATCCAGTCCAACCCCCCTGCTCCAGCAGGGACACCCAGAGCACGGGGCACAGGGCGGCATCCAGGCGAGTTTGGAAGATCTCCAGAGAAGGAGACTCCACAGCCTCCCTGGGCAGCCTGTGCCAGGGCTCTGGCACCCTCACAGGGAAGAAGTTCTTCCCCATATGGAAATGGAACTGCCTGTCTTTCAACTTGTACCCATTAACTCCTTGTCCTATCACTGGCCATCACTGAAGTTCAGTGAATGGAGAATTTCACCACCATTTCAATGTCGTGATAATAAAAAAAAAGCATTTATTCTGGTTTGTTCATATATGCAAGTTTAGTCAGTGATTATACTGCTAGTGGTGAGCAGCAGAAAACCTGAAAGGAATAAAGCTGAGTTATTTTTGTGCTGTTGCCTCCACTGTTGCACAGCGAGCTATACAAGAGCTATAATGCTTTATCCTGATAAACACAAGGCAAAGTCTAATTTTAATTACAGGCCCAACTCATTTTTCTGGCCCTTGGAATAGTCTGCCTTCAGAGAAAGTTCCTGAAATGCATTCAAAATAAATCATGCAAATTAAATTATTGATACTGATATTTTTCCTTGAAGCCTGATTCTTAATCAGTGCTGTGGAGGTTGGATGTGGTCTGTGGAGTGTGACACTGTTCAGTTAGAGGTTTTATTTATCCCATGGATTTCTTGATCCATTGGTTCAGGCAAACTTGTTTGATTTTGCTCTGTGAAAATTCTTATGTTAGTACTAGTTCAAGGAAGTATATTTAATAGCTTCGTGTTTCATTTCAGAAATGTTCAAAAGCTCTCTGAGACAGGTGTGAACTGAAATTACTTTGAGATGGATCTTGTCCAGGACTTGTATCATTTATATCGATTCTTTAGAGTGCTTAAAATTGCAAGACCATTAAATATTCTTGCTCTAATTATGGCTTGTTTATGAACTCGTGTAGGGGAGGGAAGGGGGTTGGGGCTGAGCATCACAAGGGATGCATAGCACCTATCCACTTAAGAGACTCTGCCTATGTTTTTCTGTGGCACAAGCCACAAACTGCATAACAGGGTGGGAAAGAGGGATTAGAGGAGAGGCTTGGAACCTGTTCCTAGAGGAGCCTGAAACAATGAATAATGTGGTTATGTCATAGCAATGGAGATGTACATACTGTCTGAAGTGCTTGTCCTTGCAACCCTTAAATCTCTCCAGGACAGAGAAGCTAGATTCCGATCCCCTTAGCACTGCAGAAGTGTGGATCTGTGCCCAGATAGATGTGAGTGATGGAATTAGAGCACTTGTGTGGCAACTGCAGACTCCAGCATGCCTCTCACTGCTTACAAAGGGATGTGCTGGACTGTGGAGCTGTGACTGTTGCTGCAGGAAACTGATTGCAGGGTGGTTTATGGGATGATGTTAAATCTCTGCTTTCAGAAGGTTTATGTATCTTGTATTTGAGCTGCTATTTTCTTAGTTGCAGCATTTGCAACAGTAGAACTAGAAGAATCCAGCAATTCTGCAAACTGGCATTTCAGAGTTCTTCATTTGGTCTATATGCTTGTACAAAGGAACTGTAGAAGATTAATATTAGAGTTGCACAAGATATTGTCCAGATTTGCTGCTGGAATGAAAACTAATGTCTTGCCAGCCTCTCTAACCTCTAGAGGAGTGATTCAGCATGTTTTTTTTCAAACTTCAAGTAAAATGCAAATGTGCTTGATTTCTTGTAAGATTGTTTCCCGATGATACACATTGCCTCTGCATCTGTTTTCCATGCATATATCAAATTTTAAGAACAAATGGTGAAAATAGTATTATAATTTAGTTTATATATTATATGATTGCCCTCAGGGAATGTAAGGGTGAATTTATACAAGTTAGGGTGGGCTATAGGGAGAATCAAAAGACTGTTGTTAGAAAATGTTTTTTCTAAATAATGAACAGATTTGTTAATTAAGAGTAACTTTACAATTTTTTCAACTAATTGGCAAGTCTGCCTTGATCCCAAGTGATGTAAAGTTGTTGAGCCTGAAGTAGCAGATGGTCTGATAAGCATCCTTGTGAAAATAGATATTTTTGTATTTTATACCCCAGTGCATTTTCAGGTGTTTCAAGTTTTTCTGCTGATCATGTTGCTGGCAGAAGTACCCTCTCACCTTTGACAGTGGCAGCACAGCTATTTCAGCTCTTTCTAGAAGCAGTTTCTCATGATGAATTGTATAGACTCTTATAGGAATTGTATAGACTCTTATGGTTATCTTTAATAGTGCATTTAGATGCTATTTTCAGTTTATCATTTTTAAATTAGTAAATATGGAGGCCCCTTTTCTCTTATTCTAGACTGTCTACTTGGTTTATTAATTGCAGAGTTTGATTACTAAACTAAAGGCTATCATTTCAACATCTTGAGTAAGCAAACATCTGATTCTGTTGCAGGCATATGTTTTTCTTGCATATAAAAGAAGATCTTCTAGCTGGTAATCTTCAGTGTTCTTCAGAACATGCCATCGAACTTAGTGCATTGCTGGCACAGATGAAGTTTGGAGATTATAACCAGAACACTGCCAAGTACAGTTACGAAGAGTTGTGCACAAAAGAGCTCACCACCACCATTTTGGAGAGGTGAAAAAGATGCAATGACATAACAGCATTTTTGGGAGGGGGCAGTAGTTTAAGATTTTCATATGAATTGCTGATAGCATAGGAATTACTGTAGTGAGAAAGGAAAGATCTTATACTTTGATCTCTTAAAACCATGTAGCCTAAATACTTTAACGTTCTGATTTTAGTTCATTTTAAGTTTGGATATGAGTATTTCTATTTGAGGCAAAAGCAGTTGAATTAGTGTTTGGGAAATAGAAGTATCTAAATCTCTGGAGCAGCATCCTGTGCAGTGTTGGTAATTGGTATGTAATCAAATGGCAAGTGTATCTTAGACCTATGTTTGTGAAGAACAATTTATTTGGCTTAGTATCCTCACACTGAGAAACAGGCACGTTTCCTTAAGCATCTTCATAGTTCAATTTCTGAATGTCAAAAAACTTCCAGTATGTCATACTTTGTGGTAGGTTTTTTTAGTTACAAATTTGTGGTTCAGGTAAATGTCGGGGGGTGGTAGTCATAAAGCCTTGGTTTCGTGTAGCTTATATAATTACTAAGCAAATACACAATATTAACACTCAAACATTCTCAGGATGTTTTGTTAGTTTTCTTCCCGTGACTGGAAATGCATAGCCAAGTAGGTTGGGAAGGTTTTAATGTGCTTAGGTCACCTAAAGTGCAGATGACAGTGGTGCTTGCTTGAGTTATTTACCTATCCTTTTTATCAACAGCATCGTTGCGAAGCACAAGGAACTAGAAGGTCTAAGCCAAGCTTCTGCTGAATACCAGATCCTTCAGATTGTGTCAGCCCTGGAGAACTATGGGGTGGAGTGGCACTCTGTAAGAGACAGTGAAGGACAAAAACTCCTTATTGGTGTTGGACCTGAAGGCATCTCCATCTGTAAAGATGATCTTAGTCCTGTCAACAGGTATGTATTTTGGAAGAGTTTTTATCTTCTGTTCTTTAGAGACATTGAAAATGCAGCTATCTCTTACATGAATAAATAAAACTGTTCTATGAAAAGAACTCTCAGTATATGGGGTCTGAGGACACTGCCTGCTTATGGGTACTTAAAAACACCACTTGGTTTTGTAGGTATTTTAAGGCAATGCCTTCAGCCTAGCACTTTAGGTTACAGTCAGAGGTCTTTGTAATTTCTGGTAGAACTGCTGTGTAGTATATGGTGGAAAATTCCTTTATTTTTAAATACAAAATAATCTTTCATTATTTTGCTTTTTTTAGGATTGCTTACCCTGTTGTTCAAATGGCAACTCAGTCTGGGAAGAATGTGTATCTGACTGTTACCAAGGAGTCTGGTAATAGTGTAGTTCTTCTGTTTAAGATGATCAGCACAAGAGCAGCAAGTGGACTTTACAGAGCAATTACAGAGACACATGCATTTTACAGGTAATAAACAGCTGCTGCTCTTTAGTAGCATTTTAGTATTTCAGCAGCCAGCACTCTAGACTGAACTTTAGAAATTCTCTGCAAAACAGCATTTTGCCCATTACTTGGACTTTCCTCTTAAGTCCAGCAGCTGAGTATGTTCTTGCTACTTTCAGTTTTGCATCCTGGGAGTACAGGACAAACTTTTTTCTAGAGCATACTACCATAAACTGTACTTCAGAGAAAGTGGTAAAGCTTATACTCTGACACTTCATAAACAATGGATACATTTTTGTCTCTGTGCATAAGAAAGGAAGAGAGCAGAGATGCAGGAGACAGTTCATGAATGTTGTAAAATATGTAGGTATTCCTTGTTTATCCTTTAGCTACTCCTATTAACAGATCTGTGTACCACTTTCCCATCTCATTTATTTGAAGCTCTTATGTACCCTTGTTTACATGCCCAGGATTTTTCATCACAGAAGCAGATTACTGTGTTCATCTATTTTGCTACTCAATGCACAGGTGCCATACTCCTTCCCTGATGACTAACTTTAAATCCCTTTTCAAACCTATTGTAAGGTTCAGTACTGTTCAGAAGAACCTGATGTTTGTGATACGTTAGTGTTTTACCTTGCTGAAATCAACTGCTATATATCAAGTTCAGTTATACTTTTCAAGAAAAGAATTGGACTTCAGGATAGGGAAGTATATACACTAAGCAAAAACCTATTTTTAAAACTTTACTATTTTAATACAGCTACAGCAATTAGTATAATTCTAGTAACATTTCTAACCACTGTAGGTCGTCATAAATACTCTGCTTATTCTGTGAGCTTAAGTTAAGTATTACGTGTTCTGCTCTGTAATTACAAGCTGTTTTGCATTTGTGTTTTTCCAGACAAACCAAAGCATTAACTTTTAATCCTAACTTCTGGAGCTAAACAATAGCACTGATCCATAAGTTTTGTTTTTGGACATTATGCTGGGCAAGGCCATAGCCCTCTTGTTCTGTTCATATTCCCTTTTCTATATTGCCTAGAGAAGCACTGCATCTTCCTTAAGTTTCTACAGGTTTAGCAATATTGAACGTGATCAACATGCCTAGGCTAGGCTACATGAAATACTCAGTATTTTAGTCTAAACTGCATTCTCTCTGATTCCCTTTCTCTGATATCAATTCAGTTAACTTTGTGAACAAATTACTGTAGGAGTGACTTTAATATTAAAGTAACCACGTTTGCATTTGTCTTTTTTACAGGTGTGATACTGTCACTAGTGCTGTCATGATGCAGTATAGTCGAGACTTAAAGGGCCACTTAGCATCTCTATTTCTGAATGAAAACATTAATCTTGGAAAAAAATACGTCTTTGACATCAAAAGAACATCAAAAGAAGTTTATGATCATGCAAGGCGAGCGCTTTATAATGCTGGCATTGTAGATCTCGTTTCAAGAAGTGACCAAACGCCACCAAGTTCTCCCCTTAAGTCTTCAGAAAGTAGCATGAACTGTGACAATTGTGAAGGTCTCAGCTGCCAGCAAACAAAAGCCCTACAGGAGAAGTTACGGAAGCTTAAAGAGTCCATGCTTTGTATGGTGTGTTGTGAAGAAGAAATAAATTCAACCTTTTGTCCCTGCGGTCACACAGTCTGCTGCAAGACCTGTGCTGCCCAGCTGCAGGTAATAGCAAATTTCTGGAAATTTTTGACTTTCACAAAAACAGGCCTGGGATCATGTTTAGGATGATATTTTAGTAAAACTGATTTTTAAAGTCTTTCTTGTGGTAGTTCCAAAGAATATTCTATTTAGTTAATGACTTTGAAAAGCAAGTCTTAACTATGCTTTCACTGCAAGTCCACATTTATTAGCAAGGATTAGCATTACAGTGTAAATGTAATGAAGCTTCCAATAATTCATGATCAAAGTAGTGGTTATACAAATATGAAGCAAACTAACGCTCTGTGTTTTCCTTTCCAGTCATGTCCTGTTTGCAGGTCTCGTGTAGAGCATGTCCAGCACGTGTACTTGCCAACCCATACCAGTCTGCTCAATCTGACAGTGATATGATCTCCGTGCACACTTTAAACTCATCATGGACTTTCTAAACTGCACTAATTTGAATTGCAACCATTGATTGTGAAGAAGGCAATCGCTCTGGCACCAAAATAGCAAAAATACTACATCTCTGAGCATAACTATTGTTCATTCAGCATGCCCAGGAAGATGGTTCGGGGACCTCTTTTGAGAGCAGAACTGTAAACAATTCATGTTACTTTAAAAGAATGATGTGTAAGTTTGTAGCATGGCAGTGTTGCCAAGAAGCTAAGTAAACCTGGAGAAATATGGTGTATGCATATTGATATACCCAGCAAGAGCAATGCAGCATTTACTTTTACACTCTGAAAATTCTTTCTAGTACAGTCACTGTTTATTTTAATAGCAAAACTAGCTTTTACAAATATCAGTTTAATATGGTTCATAGTTTCTGCTTTTAGCAAACAATTTTAAAGGGGGCAAACTTATAAAGATGGGTTCTTAAACTAAAGTTACAAGGCTTTCATCAAGCAGCTGCATTTAATTAAGAATTCTGAGAAGTTTATTGTATAGCTTTGGAAGTGTAGAACAAGTTTGATTTCTAGTGTTGAGAGTAGGTTAGGAAAGTTTTCTGATAGTGCTGCCCCAGGGAGACATTGGGAGGCCTCATTCCCAAGTTTCCCACATCCAACTACAACAGTGGTTTAGGGTGCTGCAGTCATCAGCCCTCTAAGTTTGCTCTATTTTTAGAGACTGATTTTTCAATCACTAAGCATTGGTTTCTAAAATAGGGTTTGTTTTAGATGCTTTGCGTTAACTTCTTCATTGGATAGGTTCTTTACGCTCAAATCTTTTGTTTTCCACCCCATGTTTGGGCATTTTGGATTCTGGTTTCCTAGTATGTTCTCCAGGATACAGAGGGAACTAGGGGACCATGTTTGGGTGCAATACTGGCTTAATCTAAGCTAGAAAAGTACACTGTCACTTTACTGAGATTTTCTGACTATACTTTTCATATTGCCTTAATGTAGCAGTAATGTGTGTTTATGCATCTGTTTCTTTGCACAGACATTTTGTCAGAATATTAAAGCTCTACTTTTTTATGACACATTAGCATATAAACCTTACTCTAAGAGGGTATTTATTTTTTCACTTTGTAAAGAGAATTTTGTTTCCTCATGAAGCAAGAGCTTTGTCCTATATCGTAGGCAACTTCCGTCTTTTTATATTCAGATAAATAAATGACTTTAAAAATCTGTCTTGCATTATGAGTAAGTTTTAATTTTGAAAAACTACTACCCTGAGACATTACTGACCTGTAAGTACAGTAGCTTATGTATGTTCATATTTATAGTTGGAATGCTGTGGGTCCTATTTAAGAAGAAATAGTTCAGGTGCACATAGATTATGAAGGAGAGAGAACTTGCATATGGTAATCATCTTCAGGCTTTATACTTTAAAATAACTGAATTCTAGCTGTAGAATAGCTGTCAGAATTAACTTCGTGGTAAGTTCCTATAGTGAATTCCCCAAGTACTTTGCAAGAGGAGGGGAAAAAAGAATGCTGAATAAAAGGCTGAGTGAAAACTTGAAGTTTGAGCAGCCATGTCTTGAACTTCGTAATTGCAGATATTAAAATGGCTTTAATTTTGACTGAAGCTGTTCATCTGATTTATCTTTACCTTCTGAGTGCTTTCACGTTCTGGAAAATGTTCCTTGAGCACTTTAGATACAGTGCTCTGGTTTGGCCCTTATAAACTGGGAGGAATGAGAATGCTGGGGTCGGAGTGAATTTTGTTGGCAGCCGTGGAGCTGTGCCCTGGAGAAAAGGAAGTGCAAGTCACCTTCATAATTTTCTTGTATATTTATCACTGTTTAAAAAGGCATCACACTGACTGGGATGTGCTGTTGCTAAGACAGCTTATCAGGAATTGAAGTTTGAGGCTTGGACACTTTCTTCCTGCCCTAAAACTATTTTAGGTTCTGAAATGCTGTTGATTGAGGTGATGGTAGCTTTAAACCAGGCAGAAATTTCTAACTGAGGACTGTTCATCTCTGCTGAAATTGGATTAAGCACATGATAATTTGTTGCTGAAGCTATTGAAGGTTAAGGATTTCATCTCTTAGCAAAGAGGTGCAGTGCTTCCAAAGATGGTAAATGTGCTGAAGCAGGGTTGTGTTGGCTCCCTAATCCATTTACAGGGAGGAATAGGGACACAGATGCTTTCTTACTGGAACTGCATTTTACTCCCATCTTGAAATAAATATTCTTCTAGCTGGCTTTAAAAATACCTATTTGTGTGGGGAAGAAAAGGTCTAGAGTGACGTAGTGGAAGATGCTGAGTTCAGCACTTCCAGGAGTGTAATCATAGCTCCTTTGATGGCCAGGGGATGATGTTATGGTTACTAAATGCAATGTCTGCAAATCACTAGCCTTTAAGAGGCTGTTAAGTCTCTTAGCTTAAGGGAAAACTTCTCTAGCCTATTCAAACAGGCAGTGGATCTTTTTGTGTGTGTGGTTGCATGAAATGGATGTTTTCAAATTAAGTATTTGAAAAGTAAGATAGCTAACATGCAAGTTTAAAAGTCTGTAAGATCATGTTTGGTGCAGTAAAACACTCACTAAAATGAGTTATATTGAACTGTCAAATCTTTTCTTCCCTTGAGTGAAACATTTTCACTTAATTGCTGCTTCAGCAATATCTAGTATATGAAGATAGTGCTTTTACTGCTTCCATTTTCTCTGTTGTTACAGAAAAGAAGACATTACACAATAGCTGGGAATAATAACTGTAAAGTCCAAGGCATGAAGCACTGCTGGAGGAAATCTTCCTCACTTCTGAAAGCTGGTGTTGCTTAGCACTCACGATAGCATTAGTAAAGTCTAACCTACTCCTATGCAGCAGCTGGCTGAAATGGAGCAGCCAGCTATAAGTACTGTTTTGTAAAACTGTAAGTTGTTTTAAATGTTAGGCCTCTGACTTAAGAGTTAGGCAAAGCGAAGCTGTTGAACAGGCAAGCGTGACTGTAGGTACTTGCAACTGGCTGTGTAGTTTAACATTGCTTCTCAAAATTACTCCTCTAGTGGAACCCTAATTAAAGACAGGGTTTAGGGAATCAAGCCTAGAGGTAGGTTTTACAGGGACCACTGTGAAGATGAAATTCAGGTAAGGCCTGTGCTGTTCCCTGCTATTTCAGGCTTGGAAAGCTCTGTGCAGTGTCCAGTATAAGCACTTGGATGCTGAGGTGCAGGTCCGGGCAAGAGCCTGGTTTTGGATGTGTCTGAGACCGCTGGAAGTGTAGTTTGGTGCTGGCAAAGCAGTGCTGTGGACAAGCAGGGCTAACAGCTTGTGGCAGTTAAGGGGATGAGCTTGGATTTTTGTGTGTACTGCATGTAATACACTTCAGCAAAGGCTGTTACCATTTTGAGTGCTCAGACCTTAAGTAACCTTTTCTAAGCACAAACTAGCTACGAAATGCTTTGGTTTGTATGCAAGTTCTAACAGCAGGCACCACAATGTATGTAGCCTGGCAATATAAGAATAGTTTTGCTTTTTTCCCCCCGTAGTTTTTAAGGGATTTGCTTAGAATGTAGCTGACTGCTGCAGCGGGGAATTCTTTGGCTAACGATCCAAAGCTGCTCTCAGGCATTGCTCAAGGTGCTCGCTGTTGGGGCACACAGATTCATGCGAGGAATACTGTGCCCCATCCATATGAGCTGCCAACAGCTGGGAAGGAGAGGAGGAAAGCACAGCCACTGCTGTGCCCTTCAACTCTTCCTCAGATCTGGAGTCAGGCCTTGCTTCCTCTGAGGAAGGTACGAGTGGATGCTTTGGATCGCAGGGGAGGAAACCACAGAACCGTTCATGGGAACAAGCAGTGTGTCTGCTCTGCACTTTCCTTTGTAGGAGCTGACAGATTTGTTAAGAAGCCTTTTTGATGCTTCTGACACCTGATCTGTGAGCACTGGGCACTTCACATGAAACCGCTCCTGCAGCAATCTCTGCTACAGTGCATCTGTGCTTGGTGTGTGCTGGCAAGAGAAGGTTGCCCCACAGAAGACTCGAGAGTGCAAATGCTGCTTCTGTGACCCAAAGAGGTGGGTGTCATGTCGTTTTAAAAGGTTATAGTCAAGTTCCCTCTGTGAGTAGCCAAATGAGGAAAAAGACCTTCAGAGCGAGCATTACTTAGTGTTGGTTAAGAGTGGGAGCCTTTCCTGTTGTTTTCATCTGCTGACCGGAGTACATGGAGGTGGCCGTGTGGAGAGGAGGATGCAAGTTTGAACAGCAGGGCAGATGTTGTCATGAAAATGCAGCTGCACTTGTGTGTAACTAATAAAGCAGTTGGTTGAGCAATATCTGCACCTGACCTACCAGGGCTGGGAACTCTCAGCCTTTGACTCATACCTGTCTGGCTTTCATCCTCCCTTCACCACATCAAAGATCTCTGCTTATGAAGAGCTCAGTCTGCCAAGGACTACACAGGCCCTGAGGCAGCGTGTTCAAATGTTTAAGTTACACCTATTAAGCTACAACATAAAGCTGCATTTTCATATAAATTCTAATTCTAAATGAATTGGAATGTTAAGCTAAACTCTAACGCAAAAGCTTCTGTATTTGTATTTTTTTCTCCCCAAATGCTTTTAACACATTCACAACAATATTCCTATATTTTAAGATGTATCTTTGTGTGCCCTTGGGGAAATGCTGCTGTCAACCTATGGTACTTCAAGGCATTATCAAAGCTGAGGAAAAATCCAATTTCCTGTATGTAGATTTATACAATAACCTTTCTGTGAAGTCCTGAAATTGTGTATTAACAAATCGTGGCCTCAGTAATAGCTGCTAAATATGCTTTCCTCAAAAAGAGGGAAATTTGAGCATACTACAGTGTCTGGTAAATGTTCTAATTACTTTTGTGCCTGCACACCCAGCTAGGGGGAGTTTGTTAAAATGAACATAGCAGCTGGAAATTGGAAACATGTAAGGAGAGGGGGGGAAAAAGCCAGGTTTTAAAAGATAAACAGTGCCAGAGCACATGGATTCTTTTTTTTTTCCCCCGCTGCTGTCCCCAAAAGCAGCTTGCAAAGCTGCTGGAGCAACCCCAGCAGCAGTGCCAAAGCTCCCAGAGATAAACGTGCTGTGGGTGGCAGGGAGCTCCTGGTGCTGTCAAGGGAAGGAACCTGGGACAGGGAGGACGAGCCCGGGCATGAGAGCAGCCGTGTCGGGGCGCAGCACTGGGAATGGGCGAGTGGCTCTGGGCATCAGAATTTTTACCTTTTCCTTGTGGCAGTGGATTGTAGGGCTGCTGCGAGGGCTGTGGCACTGGGTGGCAAGAGCCTCCCTTCCGCCTTTATTTTCCTGTGAAGGGTGGTGTGGATGAAGGGCAGGCGCCAGGGACAAGGCTGAGGAAGGCTTGCAGAGCCATAGCTGAAGAAATCACTGCGTTGGAGGGACCATTTGGTCTTCTGCTGTGAAAATGTAGAAACTGTAAACAGGAACAACAATTTAGTGGGACTTGAGGCGTTTTCCCTATGCAGTCATGGGTTGGGATGTATCCAGCATGGAGCTGGTGCTCCAAGTAGGCCATAAACAAGCTTGCAGAGTGACTGGCTCTTGGCTGGAGAGGAGAGCTGCTGGAGCTGCCCAGAGGCGGCCTTTTACAGCGCTGATCTAGGCACCAACTTCCTTAAGGGCAGGCAAACAAACTGCACCAGCTTTCTGAGACCTTTTGCTGTCGCTCGCTGATTTCTTGCCACCTAAAATGCAGATTTTTTCAGCTGATCGGAGATGGGGAGCAGGTGGGAGGGGAAACGCTCTGCTCCTGAAAGCTGATTCCTTCCTCTCCCTTCACTCTTATCCTCCTCTGAGTGACCCGATTTAGCCTCTCTGTTCCTTGCTCACCCTGCCTTGTTCCTGAAGACTTTTCTGTTCTTTCTCCATGATTCCTGGGAGCCATCCCCAGGCTCTGGAGCCAGTCTGTGGTTTCCAAGCAGCTGCACACATCATCTCCACCCTGAGAAAGAGTCTGACTGCTCTTGATCTGTAGTCCCCATCTCTTTCTGCACCTTGGCAGGA